GAATGAGGAACCATACGGACAGCTGAACCCCAAGTGGACCAAGTGGCTGCAGAAGCTGTGCTGCCCATGCTGCTTTGGGAGAGACTGCCTAGTCCTGAACCAGGGCTACCTGTCAGAGGCGGGTGCCAGCCTGGTAGACCAGAAACTGGAACTCAACATTGTTCCCCGCACAAAGGTGAGAGGAAAGCTGCTGGGATCTTGTTCTGGGAAGGATTTTGTGTGCTTCCACACAGATTGTGTCTTGTCTTGTGGCGCTGCTGACCTCGCAGATTGAGAGCTCTAGACCAGGACTGTTCTGCTCAAGCTGTGGGGATGCTTTTGCTGGGCAGAGCTGTGGGAAATGCTGTGTCTTGGTTTTATCAGGCAGTCCTGTGACTTGTCAGGTGCCCCAGCTGACATCTGCACTCCTGTCCCCCCAGGTGGTGTATCTGGCCAGTGAGACCTTTAACTACAGTGCCATCGACAGGGTGAAGTCCCGAGGAAAGAGGCTGGCCCTGGAGAAGGTTCCAAAAGTTGGCCAGCGCTTCAACCGCATTGGTCTGCCACCCAAGGTACGGCTGCCACCCTGCACACCTGCCTGCCGGCACCTCCACACCCTCTGCAGCCTGCTGTGACACAGCCTCTCTCTCCTTGCCTCAGGTGGGCTCCTTCCAGCTCTTTGTGGAAGGCTACAAGGATGCTGACTACTGGCTGCGGCGGTTTGAGGCCGAGCCGCTCCCGGAGAACACCAACCGGCAGCTGCTGCTGCAGTTTGAGCGGCTGGTGGTGCTGGACTACATCATCAGGAACACAGGTAGGGCCAGCTGCCTGCTGTGGGATGCTGCCTGCTCCGTCACGTCCTATCATGTTGGAGAAAGGGGAGGGAGACAGGGGCTTGGTGGCTTTTCCCAGCACCTGAAATTCTTCTCAACACCACTCGGTTGTTGCCAGGTGACATCTGCCTCAGGGCAGAGTGCAACTGCTGTGGCCATCCAGCACTGGGGGCTCTGGCTGCTGGCCTGCGTTCTAGCAGATCTGGATCCACTGCTGTGCTCAGCTGAAAGTTTGTCAGCTATGAGGTTCCAGGGACATCCAGAGATCCAACACCTGGCTGTGCCTCATTTCACTGTCCCATCTCACAGTGGGTTCCTGAGTTCCTGCCTGGCTGGAAGGGGTTGGGTTTGCAGTCTGGGGCTTGCAGGCTGACGTTTCTCTTGCAGGCTGGCAGTATGTGGACCTCCAGGGCTAGTTTTGTGAGGGTTGATGTGACTTCCTAGGCCCACAGCGGGCTCAAGAGCTCTGGGCCTAAAATGTCTCTGTCTCACTTCTGGGTCAGAGGAGGAATAGTCTTCTGCCCAGCATGGTGCAGGGGGGCCCTGGTGGTGACACAGCTGGTTTTATCTCCCTGCAGATCGGGGCAATGACAACTGGCTCATCAAGTATGACTGTCCCCTGGACAGCGCAGGCGTGCGGGTGAGCGGCTCCTCCTGGGCAGGGGCTACATGGGAACTCTGCTTCTGGAACTTGACTGCTTGTCATGTGGAACGGGAATTTCCCATCTGGGTTCCAAGCTTGTGGAGGCCTGACCTTGTCTCCTGGGCCTTTTGTTACCCTTTGCCTTGGTGGTTTGTGGCCTAGTGGGACTTTGTAAGAACGCTGTGTGGGAGAAACTGGTGTTGCTGGACCTGTGCATCCTTGGAGTGAGGCCTTGGAGCTTTGTTCCCCTCCCACCTGAAGCAGACAATGTTTCCCTGTGGGCAAGGGGCCATGCTACAAGGCAAGAGGCTGCTGTGCCTCTGTGGTAGCCAGGGCAAAGATCCTGGCAGTGGGGCTGGAGTAGGAGGGGGGGTTGGGGGAGTTTTCTTGTGACATGCTTTGCTTCATTCCAGGACAGTGACTGGGTGGTGGTGAAGGAGCCCATCATCAAGCTGGCTGCTATAGACAACGGTTTGGCCTTTCCCTTGAAACACCCGGACTCCTGGAGAGCGTGTGAGTCCCTTAGGCTATGCCAGGACACCATGGCAAGCCACACAAGTCCATGCTTGGGCATCCTTCTTAAGGACTGCAGAGGAGAGGGCTAAGGCTGTGCCTCTGCAAATCTCTGGGTTCATGGGCAGCTCCTTCTCAGTAGAGACTGTAGAAAGCTAAGGCTGGACCTTGTGTCCCAGATACAGGGGATCCAGGGACATGTGGCACCATGCTTTGCCTTCCCTAGTTCTCATGACTCCTGCTTCCTCCCACAGATCCATTCTATTGGGCATGGCTTCCCCAGGCCAAAATCCCCTTTTCACAGGAGATCAAGGACCTGATTCTTCCCAAGATCTCAGACCCCAATTTTGTCAAGGACCTGGAGGAAGATCTGTATGAGCTCTTCAAGGTGTGCTGGGGAAGTGGGTGAAGATGGTATGGGAGGAAGAAAAGTGGGGGTAGTGTTGGGGAGCTCCCTGTCAAGGCTTCAGGGGACAGGACGGTGGCCAAGCTCCTGACAGTGTTTTTGGGCTGAGGCATAGCAGGGTTTTCCCTCTACCAGGCACTGAAGATTCAGCATGGGGAGAAGCAGGAAATCCATGGGACGGGGGAGAGGCTTACTTGTGGAATAGTTGTCTTGTGCATGGCATGAGGCAGTAGATGAATCCCACTGTGTTCTCTGCTCTCTTTTGCAGAAAGACCCTGGCTTTGACAGGGGACAGTTTCACAAGCAGATTGCTGTCATGAGAGGCCAGGTAAGCTGTGTGTAGGGAAGGCAGAGGTGGAGTCTCATCCTGCCTGTGTGGCAGGAAGGGTGCTGGAGTGGATGCTCTCTGTTGCTCCTGCGGGGCAGCTAAGGCTTTGCTCTGTTGTGCCATACAGATCCTGAACCTGACACAGGCGCTGAAAGACGGGAAGAGCCCGCTGCACCTGGTTCAGATGCCGCCTGTGATTGTGGAAACAGCGCGTTCCCACCAGCGCTCTGCCAGTGAGTCCTACACGCAGAGCTTCCAGAGCCGGAAGCCTTTCTTCTCATGGTGGTAGCTGCAGGAGCCACAGGCAGGGCTTGGCCATCTCGGACTAGCACTGCAAGAGGAGCTGGGCCACTGCTGGCTTCTGTGGCTGGGACTTGACCTTCAGGGTAGAGCGAGCAGGTGCAGCTGGAGGAACCTGCAGCTGAACTGGAGGAGCCAGGCAGGTTGGGCATGGTCCCTCCCCAGCTCCATTGGAGCTTGGTGCCCTGCCTGGGGCAGAGGACAGAGGGAAGTGTGGGAATCTGCCGGGAACTGTGGCGTGGCTGGGACCCTGCCCCTGCCTCTCTTCCTTGGCCTGCATGTGGTTCTGAGCACCCCCGCTTGGGGCTGGGATGAACAGGCTTGCCCAGGCCAGGATCCGTCCAGCCCTTTACACCAGCCACTGGCCCTTTTTTTCCCCACCGTGACAGCTGCTGGGCGGAGAAGGCCTGAGAAGGTGATACCCCCTCCCTTTCCCTAAGGGTGTGGTGTACTCCTCCACTGATCCCTCCTCTGCCCCAACCCCGTGCACGCTGCTTTCCTCAGGGGGAGTTCCTGCTGCCCACGGGTGCAGTGGGGACCACAACGAACGGCTGTTCTCTGGCTGGGGGCTCGAGGAGGGGACATAAGAGGGACAACACATGAGACTGGCTTGGGTGCAGTTAGACACTAAGGGGAAAGAGGTGTTGGATTATCCTTGGGAAGAGCAGGTGGCTCCCCCTCTGCTTCCCCAGTCCGTTTCTCCTGCCAGGTCTTCACAGCTGCTCTTGCTTGGCTATTTCCCCTGCTCCCAGCAAGCTGCCTGGCTGCTGTGCAGCCAGCATGGTGCCAGCCTTGTCTGTGCCTAGGGCTCCCCTCGAGGGGCAGGGGTCTGCCAGGGAAGGGCTGGAGGGGCTCTTCTGCCACATAGGTGGGCGTGTCAGGGGACCAGCATGGACTCCTTTGAGTTGACAATCTCACAGGCTTGCTGTGGGTGGGGGAGGCAGAGAGCTCCCCTCTCCCCAGCAGCTGCTGAGCTTGTGTTGTATGGAACAGTATCAGGGCTGCTGCCTGCACTCGCTTGCCTTGAGCTGTGGCTTCTTCTGCTGCTGCTGGGGGAAATTGGTGTTGGGTCTTGTTGTCCTGTTAGCCCATCTTCGGGGAGTGAAGGGGATGACGGCAGGTTGGGGCTCTGCTGTGTGAGCCTGGGAGGGGAGAGCAGCTCCCTTGTCTCCTGCAATGGGTAGGGGGCTCAGCATTGGCTGTGCAAGCACAGAGGGGGCAGCAGTGGAGACCCCAGCTCCCCGGCCAGGCCCAGCTGCATCTGACTGACCCAAAATGTATTGTTCTAATGCACTGTAGAAATGTATGTAATGTATTTAAACCATGCAACTGTCTGAATAACAGCTGCCATTCAGCTGGCCACATCTGTGTCTCTGCTGTACCCTAGAGAAGGTTGGGGCTCCTCAGACAAGGCCTGGCTGGTATCCAATAATACCTGCTCAGGGCTGCGTTTGTCTCCCACAACTGCAGAGCTGCTGCCAGAGAGACCCTTTCCCACAGGATCTGCTCATGCTGGGCATTGAGGGGGCCAGCTGCCCAGCCTGCCCCTCAGCATCCCATGCCTGCAGGTTCTGTGCCAGTGGCTTGGCCAACTGGTCCTCCAGCAGATAAATCCTTCCTTGGAGAATTTCTGTTTTCTCTTCTGAGCATTTCTTGTCCTGCACGGCAGCACGCAGCTTGTTCCCCAGCTGTGTCTGCAACTTGCCAGGGCAGTCACTGCGACTTACCGTGCACTGGAGCACACTGCCCTGAGAGGGTGTGGAGAATCCCCTACTGGAGATATTCAAGAACTGTCTGGATGAAATTCTGTGCAATGTACTCTAGGATGACACTACTTAAGTAGGGAGGTTGGACCAGATGACCCACTGTGGTCCCTTCCAACCTGACCCGTTCTGTGAGGCTGTTCCCACTGCACTGGGTGCAGTACAACGGCCTGGACCCTGGTCCTGCCACCCTGGGGGAAGGCCAGTATGGGCAGGGCACGGCCAGAGCCTAACAGCCACCATTATCCATCCTTTATTAACCATTCATTACACCCTGCCCAATACACTTAGTGTCCTCAGAGAGCCTGGCAGTGCCGACATCAGCTGTCCAGCAGACCCCCTCCGCGGCCCCGGCCGCTCAGCGCTGCTACACGGAGCCCGAGCCTGTCTCGGCCCCGCAGTCGCTCTCGAGCTCCTTCTCTGCGATCCTACAGGGAAGAAACGTGCTAGGGGCGTGGTCCGACCAGGTTTCCCCTGGTTTTCCCGCCGCCCCGGCCCACACCTACCGCAGGTGGCCGAAGCGCCGCAGCGCCGCTATCCCGCCGCCTGGCCGGGCCGTTCGCCGCCGCCGGAGCCGCCGCAGGGCCCGCACCATGCGCCGCTGGCCCGCGTACCGCCAGACGAGGCGGGCGCGCTCCTCGGGCCGCTCGGCCCCGCCATTCCGGAACAGGCTCCGCAGCTCCAGCAGCCCTACGCCCTGGAAGATGTTGGCCGAGGCCCGCTTACGACTGCGGGCAGCTGGCGTTGCCCGCCCCGGAGGGTCGCTCACCACCGAGGCCGGCGTGCCCATGGCCCCGGCCGTTGCAGGCACCGAAGAGACGGTGTCAGGCTCCGCTCTCGTTGCCCGGCCTGGCCCACCTCCCCCGGGATCCGGCGCGGATGCCCGGTGAGGAAGGGCGGGCGGCGGGGGAAGGGCGCCGGGCAGGAGTCCAGCCGCGCGGGCGGGGCCGCCCGGGAACGCGGGAGGTGCCCCGGCTTGAGCCGGCGCACGCAAGTCCGGTCCCGCCCTAGCCCAGGGCGCTGGGCCCCGCCGTGACCCACTTTCGCTCCGCCGCCGCCCGGAGCCCGCCGGCCCCTTGCACAGCCCTGGCAGTGGCGGGTCCGCCCGGCGCTCGCTGCGCTCCCAGACTCGCTTCGCGCCACCGCGCCGGAGTCCCGCCACTGCCCCGAGCCGCTCATGCACCGCCGCCCCGCCCCGTGCCCGCCCCGCCGCCAATCCCCGCCCGCCTCCCGCTGCCAGGGCCAATCGGCGCCGAGGGGCGCGGTCGCACCGCCTCTCGGAGGTGTCCACGTGGCGTAGGTGACGTCACGGGCAGCGGGCGAGACCCCGCCCCTGGGCGGAGCCGCAGGCATCACTCCAAGGGGAATCCCGGGTGACGTAGGGGGGAACCCCGGCGCGCGCCCCCCGCCGGCCGCCGTCCGGGGTCCCGGTTCATTGTCCCCGAGACCCGCTGCCGGCACCGGCCGCCGCCTTCCGCGGCCTCCCGCCGCCGCCTCGCGCTCCCCGCAGAGGGGGTCCCCCGGCGGCGGCGGGACGGAAGGGGCACGGCGGTTCCTGCCCGCCGGCGGCATCCACGGCGGCCCTCGGGTGTCCGGTGGGCCAGCGGGAGGAGAGGCGGGAGGCGGAGGCGGGGCGGGGAGGAAAGGAGAGAGGCCCCGCGCGGGGAGGACCGTATAAGTGCCAGATGTTTGGCAACGGCCGGGGGAGGAAGTCGCTGCCGGGGCCCTGAGTCCCGCCCGAGCCTCGCCGGAGCAGGCAGGGCCGCGCCATGGCTCGCACGGCTCCCCCGTCAGTGCCGCCGCCCCCGGGGCCGCCGGCCCGCGGCTCGCTCAACCTCCACCGCACCTACCTGCGGAGCCCGCTGGGCTTGCTGCGCCTGGGGCAACTGGCGCTGGGCGCTGCTTTCTGGGTGACAGTGGCTGCTCACAAGTACGAGGGGGCGGCCCACTTCGCCCTCTTTGCCGCCGTCCTGGTCTGGCTCCTCACCCTGGCCCTTTTCGGGCTGAGTCTGCTGGGGCGGTGGGAGCTGGTGCCCTGGCTGGGCTCCCGCTGGCTCCTCACCAACCTGGTGCACGACCTGGCGCTGGGTGTGGGTCTTTACGCAGCTGCCACCGGCATCATGGGCCATAAGGCCAGTCAGAGAAGCTATTGCAACCTACCAGGATACAGCCAGCACTGCCTCTACGGTGCCTACTTGAGTGCCTCCGTCTGTGGGGGCATCACCGCCTGCCTGTACCTCTTCTCCGGGCTCTACTGCCTGTCACGGCGTTGCCGGGACCAGCGTGACATCATCTGAGACCTTGAGCCACTTGGCTCAACTTCTTCTCGCTCACGGACAGAGCACAGCCTCTCTCTGGGACAAAGTGACCCTGCTGCCCCATCCCCTCCTGGCTGACTGCACTGCAACTCCTCCGGAGACCCCTGCACAGACGGATGGACAGACAGAGGCCTTCCCCAAACACACCTTCCCCTGCAACGCACAGAGACAGCATGGACATCCAGCCGCTGTACAGGCCCTTCTCCCACCTCTAAACCCAGGGAAGGACCCAAGTGGAGAGGCCCTAAGAGGGACACCAATTTTTGGGAGCCCCTCCAAGACCTCTGCCAAACTCCCCTGCTCGTGACCTTGCAGATGCTGCATGCTCAGGTGGGTGCTGACCTCTCCCCAGGGTGGAGGGGAACTGGCCTGGGGGACCTGAGAAGTGGACAGTGGTGCCTAGTGGGGTTGGGTGGGCACAAACAACCCCAACCCACTGGCAGCCCCTTCTCGCCATTCCAGCTGCGTGGCGCCTCCGCAATTCCCTAACGGAGGCTCTGAACTCGGCTTCCCCAGCCGAGGCCCCTCCTTCTGTCTGGCCTGAAAACATCCTTCATCTTATCGGGGCCCCGCGGGGCTCAGCCCCTCCCTGCCCTGCGCTCTGGGGGTGTGGAGTCACCCGGGTACCACACAACCAGACCCAGCATCACCCCAGGCCCCTGGACACAACCCAGGTCCAGTCTGGGGGCTGAGCAGGGCAGCAAGGCCTCCATCGCTGCAGGACAAGGGGAAAGACGCATGAGATCTGTTACCCTGGGCAGGGAGTAAATTCCTTCAACCTTGGAGTTTGTACAGTCCCAGGATGGGGCCAGGTGCCCCTGGGGGTTGAACGGGCCAGTCATGGGGATGTTCTGCTGTTCTGCAGAGAGGTTTGTGGCTCCGAGCCACCCAGAGCCACTGAAGCAGACTGGGGCCAGGCTGCTCCAAACGGGACAGGCACAGCCTTGCTGACGTTTCTGGAGACTGGCCTGCAGCCCTGCTTGGCTCTGCTGCACTTGGTTTATTGTCTCACAAGATTCGGATCTCTGGACTCTCCAACTTCATCTTGGGACCAGGCAGTGCCTGGAGACTGTGGCAAGGTGGAAAGGAAGGGTGAGCGTGGCAGCATGGCAGTGCTGGGCTGCTGCTGGCACTCTGGCCATGGGGGAACTATGACCAGGCATTGTGGGGACACAACCTGTCTTGGAGAACAGGAGAAGAGGACACTGCCACTGGAGCCAGCCCAGCCTTGGATCAGCCTCCACAACCCACCAGGTGCCAAGCCATGAGGAGGCCATGTAGGGTCAACTGGAGAAATAGGAAGCCAGAGAGAGAATTTTTGGAGGAGTACCACACCAGGGCTGCCTGCCACAAGCCCTAATTGCCCTGCCTGGAGGCAGATCATCTCCATTGGTCCTGGTGCGAGGGAGGGTCTGCCCCAGTCTCTACATGGGCTCAGATCAGTTGGGTGGGTATCCCCAGTGGCTGGCCACAGGGTGTGGCTGTTGCCTGGGGTTCCCTGGTGCCTTTTCTGGGGTGGAGAGCAGCAGCTGTGATCTTCCTGGGGCTTGAAGGGGTTTGGGGTTGGTACTGGGTCCCCGCTTCCACCATGAGGTGCTGTCCCAGCAGATATCCGTTGTGCTTACTGGCCCTGCCAACCCCCTAGGCCATGTGTCCCTTCCCTGGGTGGGACATGCTGTCCCTGCCCTGTCAGGGCTGGTCCCTGACATCACCTGCCTCCGCCTATTCTGGTGCAACCCCTGGTCCAGGCTGCCTGAAATGCTCTCTGTGCATCTGCCACCACAAGTGCCTTTCTCTGGCTTTCTGCAGCCCTGTCTGTCACGCTGGCTCTGTCCCCCTACAGCCTCCTCTCTGGTACCCGTGGATTCACATTCCAAATAAAGCAATGTTGGCGCTTACTGGGTGTCTGAGGCTTTGTGCTGGGGCTGGGACCTGCTGAGTACAAGGTCTGAGCTGGGATCACACTCAGCTCTGTAGCCCTGTAGCCCTTTGCCCTGGGGCCTCCCTGCTTGGAGCCCCTGGCTGTGGTCACGATTTCCTGAGGTGCTCCAGGGTCACAGGCAGGCTCCACAGGCACCTCTCGGTGCCTGGCAGAGCAGAGGGAGACTGAGTCCCCAGAGCTGTGTGGCCGCAGGGATGCACTGAGTACGGGATGGAGCTGCATTCCTATGGGTTTTGTCACTCTGGGCTGAAAGAGCCCTCTGTCCTTGGGCCAGGACACTGCCAGGCAGTCACGCCCACGCTGTTGGGCCCCCCGGAGGGTCAGGGACCGCCTGGGGGCAGCCAGCATCTCCCAGGGCTGGCTCCAGCCCTGTGAGGCACTCTTGGGATGGGGTTGAGCCTCCCCTGTTCAGCAGAGGCTGTGGACAGCCGACAGCATTGTTAAGCCCTCATTGCCCAAGAGTCAGCATAGGGGTAAAACAAGGTTGTATGGAGTATTATGAGATCCCTCCTTTTGGTATCAGAGGAAGCCCAGGATCCCCAGAGCATCCCTGGGAGCCAGCAGCCCTGCTCTACTGCAAGCACCTGTCAGGACGGCCCGTGGTGCCCAGGGAAATGGGGAGCTGGTGTGCAGGGCAGTGCCCGCGCTCCCAGGACTGGGTTGCAGCGGGAGCACGGAGGGGCAGCAGGTGAACTGCCGGTCACGGGCCGGAGGGAATCTGCCGCTCCCGCCCGGGGCATCCGCGTGTGGGGCTGCGCCCTGGTCTCTCCCCGGGGAGAGGTGCCACAGCAATGGGCTCACGGGCACGAACCCGCTGCGCCCGACACGGCTAGGTGCAGGCCATAGCAAGACCCAGACTGGGACTGAGCCCCGGACCAGGACTGAAACGGATGCGTGCTCAGCTCCGGACTCGGATGGGATCCTGGCTGTGACTGAGCCCTACTCCAGAGCAGAGGCGAACCGAGACTGGGCCTGGACACTGATTACCCGTGGGTATGGACCGAGCCCCATGTCTGGACAGAGCCCGCCCTCACGCAGCACCACCCGGAGCGGCGCGGGCAGGTCCGGGCGGGGCCGGGCACGGGAGGAGCCGCCGCTTCCGGCACCGCCCCGCGGGGGCGGGGCCTGCGTGCCTCGCCGCGCTCCGGCTCTCTGATTGGCTGCTCTCGCGGCGCGCCCTCCGCGTCACGGCAGCGGCCTCGTCCCGGTGCGGGCCCGTCCCGGTGCGGGCCCGGTGCCGCCATGCAGGCGGCGGAGCGGGACGGGACGGCGGGCGGCTCCGAAGGGGCAGCCGGCGGCGGTGAGGCCCCGTCGGAGCCGTCGCCGCCCAAGGCCGCCGCCGCTTTCGACCTGCTGGAGCTGGTGCGGAGCTACCGGCGGCTGGAGCTGTACCTGGAGCCGCTGCGGGACGCGGCCGAGGGCGTCCGCTCCCTCCTGCGGTAGGTGCGGGATGGGCTGGGACCCGTACCGAGATCGTCCCCGGGGCCTCACGCCTCTCCCCCTGTCTCGGCAGGTGGCAGCGGCCCGTGTGCTCCCTCCTGGTCTGCCTCGGCCTCAACTTCCTCCTGCTCACCCTCGGACAAGGTGCGTGTCGGGGGTCGGGGTCCCCTCCCCGGAGCTCTCCGGGCTGACGCTGTCCTATCTCTTCCAGCCGCCTGGTACTCGATGCTCGCCCTGCTGGTGGCGGTGCCGGCCCTGCTGGGCTACCTGCAGGAGACGTGCCGGGCCCGGCCCTCGGAGCCAGAGCTGGTGCGCAGGAGGTACCACAGTATCCGCAGGGAGGACCTGCGCAAGGTGCAGCTCTCCCGGCAGGAGGCCATCGCCCAGGTCAAGAGCTTGTGA